AAAAAAAAAAAAAAAAAAAAAAAAAAAAAGTATAAGATTATAAGAAAGCACTTTTATGGTATGAGAGTAAATTCCTCAAATTTCAACAAAAATGTACTCTCAAGGCAAAGTCGTACCATTTCATGACAAAAATCTTCATAGCAGAACTAATTTGGTTCAGCAGAACAAAGGTATCATAAAATTACCGGAAAGAACGTCAAGATGTGAGAGAGAATAAATATTTTTTTCAACATTATTTTTCAAGATTATTATTCTGACTTTATATTTCTGTTCATGCAGAGCCTCTCTTTCACAGTATAGTGAGAGCAAAGGTTACAAGAGTAAACTTTTTTATTCTTTGTCAAGAAATAAGCCTCAGTAGAGCAACTTTCATGACATCACAAGAAAAAAACAATCTTTGAAGAAAGAAATCATATTATGAACACTATTTGATCAGCGTATGCAGCACACCTGTGGCATGATAGCATGAAAATAAAGTCATATATGATGAAAAGTACTGTATTTTCCGCACTATAAGGCATACCTAAAGCATTCAATTTTCTCAAAAGCCGACAGTGCGCCTTATAATCTAAATGGATCAACATTCTGATTTCTTGGATGGAGTATTTTAAATGTTTTAAAGCGCTTTGTTACAGTTGCACTGGTCATGAAAGCTCTCGATAAATAAAGCTGTATTGTATTGTATTGTATTGTCTTTAGCATAGCTCCATCTAGTGGATGCATAATGCAACCGCAGCCACTATTGCTGCTTCTATTCTATGCACCTTATAATGCGGTGCGCCCTATATATGAAAACAATTTTAAAATAGGCCATTCATTGAAGGTGCGCCATATAGTGCGGAAAATACGGGGTAAGTCACAACAGCACTTGCTTAACTGTCGGAGACCAGCAGCCACTCTCTCTTAATATATATATATATATTTTTTTTTTCTTTCCTTCGGACTGCATCCTAAATTCCAAAATGCACAAATGAATGTATTATGATTCATTTTAGTAACATAAAAGAAGATGGCTGTATGTTTAATTGTCAATTCAAGGGAGGCAGCAGTGTTTCAAGATGCAGCCTCGCACTGTCCCAATAGGTTGGGGCTCGAAATAGAAATGGCCATTGATAAGCTTTCAAAGATACAGTGGGCCCTTGCTTGATGGAAAACTGTGATGAGTAGGCTCAAGCTTATAGCTGTTGAACTACATCAAGATCCATTGATGGTAATTGGGAGCCTTGCTAGACCGCTGAGTTGTGGTTGAGCTGCCGAGCACCTCCTGGTGTTATTTTGCTCCTGAATAAAGCCGAGAAGCTTTCTTAATGAGAAACATGGGAGGGGCAGATGGAGAGATGAGGTGAAGGAGCGCCGACTGGATCAAGGAGAAAAAGGAGAGAATGTGCAATGAAATTCAAATTTACTCTGTCGGGTTTTTTTTCCTTCTCTATTTTATATGATGGAGTCACACATTGTTGCCAATGCAATAATTCAAGGTGAAATTGAAGTGAGGTGAAGCAGATAACAGGAACGGACAAAATGAAGAGGGGAAAACAGAGTAGGTGACAGCAGGGTGACAGGAGGCAGACTTACTTCTCCATCTGACAATTATAATATTCATTCGGCAACCGATCTTTCTAAATGTGAATTCAAAATGATCAATGTTTAAAAATTAGTGGAAGTTGTACATGGTAAAATACGAAATACACATGAAGCGATATGAACATTTTCAAGAAACACAAAGTCGACTTGTCTTTGTGCTTCCTCATGGCAGCCTGCACATGCAACTTTTTTCCAGTAAGGGCGCTGTTGTGCCGCTTTTGCCAGAATTTAACCAATAACTGCACAGTCTCTGCACTCTGCTACATCGGCATAGAAGATAAATGTTAGAAGTATGAGCCTGTGTGCTCTTGTACACCCCTTTCGTCAGACAAAGTTCAGTCTGTATCACTTCGACCTTTTTATCTGACAATGGAAAATTAGAGTTCATATTACACGTGTCTGAAAAAAGTACATTGGGGACTTGAAGAGGTGCAGGCTTTGCTTCCCCTGATCGCTTGTCCCTGAAGGCTGAAAAAAAAAAAAACAGTTGCTCAGAGCATCACGAGAGGATACATTACAGGGCTTGTATATGACAAGTCCACAATATGGGTTTGTTTTGGCTGAGTGCCACCAGTGAGGGTCATCAAGCCCCTTCCCCTTCTGTTCTCCACTGAAAGCCTCCCCAGTCATCAGACATTCCGTTTTGTTTCCACTACAAAGTCTCATTCACAGCCGCACTGCCAACATCAACAACAGTGTGCTTCAAAAAAGGTCATTTTTAATGATCCAAACACGCTTGATATGAATCTCGCTATATGACAGGAAATGCGGCGTTGAGAGCGGCACACTAATTAGAATTTGCATTTGATGTTTTAATTTCCGTGCAGCTGTGCACCCACGTCACACGCGCACGTGATGGGGAGTTACTCAAAGTGACCAAAGCCAATAATTCACATAAGGAGTCAAGCTGCGGTGAGAAGCAGAATTCATAAATGTTTGGTTGCTCAAGGAAGTGCGCAATGAATAAAGATGAATGGCCGCCTAAATACTCCGAATAAATCTATTATTAATGCATATGCCATTCCAACTGAATAAATGAGGACAAAGCAGCCAGGTTGGACTTGAAAGCACTGGAAACTGGAGCCAGACTGATACACCTTTTAATGCTTCCATCATTTTGTGCAACAGGTCACTACCAGCTGGATTCAAACAGCTTCTCAATGAGCATCATTAGAAAGTGCAGCCAATAAGTGAGCAAGCACCGCAGGGTTCCTTGGGAAAGAAAGCTAACCGTCCTCTCAAAGCGCCTGAT